CCCCTCCCCCTTCCTCCCTCCTCCTCCTCTTTTCCCCTCCTCTGGGCTTGAATTCAGGGGTCTGACTGGTTCCCTCCCATTTCAGCCACACCTCTACTTCCAGCTCCGCCCCCACTTATTTAGAGATGAGCACCCTATGGACTTTCCTGCCCCAGATGACTTTGAACTGTGATCCTCAGATCTCAGTCTCCTGATTAGCTAGGATTACAGAGTGGGGCCATCAGTGCCAGACAGTGATGTTTATTTCTAGTCAGGGGCCTGTCTTTGGGTGCATTGCTCCTCTACATCAAGCTGATCTGAGGAGAGTAAAATCTGCCTCCTGGGGAGGCTGTAATAATGTCTAGGAATTAGCAGGCTGCTTCACAGGGTTGTCCTCCAAATTCAAAGAGAATTCCAGCTTTTTTTTTAAGTTGGGGCTCCCTAAGCTTTCTGAGGGCAGTGATACCCCCGCACTTTCTGAAATGCAGACTATTCCTGGAGAATCCTGTGTGGAGAAACATCTGGTTTAATTAAACAGACTTCCACTAATGTCTGGAGAGGTCGGCATCTGTGGCAAACTCAGGCTGCCTCTAAAGCACTTGGGTTCACCTTTACGTCCTGAATCAAGGACAAACTGTTCACTAAGGGAACTCACAGGCCCTAGTCCTGACTGCAGGTTGGCCTCCAACCATGCTGTTTACAGAGATGTCCTTCTGGGCTCTAAGCCTTGGACATTACTAAAGCAATCAAATGAAAAACAGCCTATAACCTGGATTTGCTTTTAGATTTTCATAGTGCCTTTCCTTTCCTTTCCTTTCCTTTCCTTTCCTTTCCTTTCCTTTCCTTTCCTTTCCTCTCCTCTCCTCTCCTCTCCTCTCCCCTCCTCCCCTCCCCTGTTCTCTCCTCCCCTCCCCTCCTCTTCCCTTCCCTTCTCTTACCTCTCTTCCCCACTCCCTCCTCTCTCTCTCTCTCTCTCTCTCTCTCTCTCTCTCTGACTGGATTAAAATTCTGTGGGCATCCATCCAGAAAAACCATGACAGGTTTCTGAGAGGACACAGCAGAGGACACAGTTCTGCAATGGAAATTTCAGGAAAGCAGCTGCTGCTCCTAGGAAAACCAAAGCTCCATGTTTACTTGCAAAGAAAGGAGGGGACTCACTCAATCATTTGGATAAGCTGACACAAGCCTGCCCCACACAGCACACACGAGGACACACAAGGCTGCTCCAGGTGAAAGTGTTTTATTCTTTTAACTAAATTTGCCTCCTTCCATCGCCAGTGCCCTTCCTGCCCCCACACTGCTGTCTGCCCCTGCAGACAGACCCAGAATAGAACAGGAGAGCTGGAAGGATTTGTAGAGACCATCTACTCTGTAACTTTCATTTGACTTTGACAGTTGAGGAACATGAACCTGGAAAGACAAAGCAACTAGACAACTAGTTAGTGGGGACCTCTGTGCTACCCTCACCATTTTCTGACACATAGTTAGCTACACTCCCACCGCAGGCTCCCAGAACTCTCCCAGAATAAGATGAATTGTACTTTGGGGGATTGCATGAAAGGATGTGGTATCAATGAATAGAATCACAATCTGAGTTTTGTGGAGAGGGGCCATTTTCATATTCCCCAACTCTGCCCACTTACTTCTGGATATAGTATCAAAAGGCAGGACTTTAATTTCACAAAGAAGTAGGAAGTGAAATATAAGGGCTGAACATCAAAGGTCCTCTTAGGCTACAAGTAGGTTGAGGGACTGCACACTTGATTGTTGGGGACATTGTGTCAAAAGCAATTGCTTAGCTGAGCACTCCTGGCTCTCTCCTGTAATCCTTACTGCTCAGAAGGCTGCCATCTGAGGATCACAGTTCAAAGCCAGTAAAGGCAGGAAAGTCCATAAGACTCTTATCTCCAATTAATGACTAAAAAGCTGGACGTAGAGTTGTGACTCAAATGGTAGAGCACCAGTCTTGAATGGAAAACTGAAGGGAGAGTGCCCAGGTCCTGAGTTCAAGCCCAATTCTCTACACTCACAAAAAAAGTATCAGAGTTTGGGGGGAGGGAGGGTAGATAAGCAGTTGCCTAGCAAAACCATAGCCCAGTGATTTAAACAATACAAAAAAAATTTGAA